GAGAGGGGGGGGGAGAATGAGAGAGACTTTTCATATTTATTTATTTATTTATTTTTAGTTTTCGGGGGATACAACATCTTTGTTTTGTATGTGGTGCTGAGGATCGAACCCAGGCCGCACGCATGCCAGGCAAGCGCACTACCGCTTGAGCCACATCCCCAGCCCCTTAACAATATTTTTAAATATATAAAAATAATCATTATGAGTTCTTATTTATTGGAAAAAATATTTTACCATGTCTCAATGCTGCTGATTGTCAAGATCTATAATATATAGAAATGCTTATCAAGTGAAGTGCTTATCAAAAAAAAAAAAAAAAAAATATATATATATATATATATATTTGTGCCTGGCACCTGGCACTATTCATTTAACATCTCACAATTTGTTTAGTTTACACTGTTCTTTACCATCTCCATTATCATTCACTATAATGTTTCTCATCAACATCAGACCTTTAAAGAAAAGTCCATGCACTGATAAATCAAAAGGGTACATTAAATTCAAAAGTTAACTATAAAAACATCAGTAATCTACAACATCCTATAACWATCATAAATGACTTTGTGGCATATGAATTTGGACTTCTGAAGTGGCCAAATATAATGAATAAACTGTACTGTGTCATTTAATGACAGGGAGACAGAAAAAACGTGTCATTAGGCAATTTCATCCTTATATGAACATCAGAGTACACTTACACAAACCTAGATGTTTTAGCCCACTATGTACCTAGTAGTATATACAGTCTGTTGTTGACTAGAAAGTAACTGTGTGACACAGGACTATAATGTTTTAAAAACATATATAAATAAAAGATTTTTAAATAGGCAATGCAGAGGCTCAATGATAAGAGTGTATGATACAGATCCTGGATTCAATCCAAAGAACAACAACAACAAMAAAAAGCAATKCAATTTTATGTTTAGAATAACTGTAATGCTAATCTCATCCTCTTTTTAGTAAGAAACTTTATCACACCGGTAATAGAGGGGAAAGTTCAAATATGGAACCACAAATTATTATCATAATCCTCCCCTTTTTAGCACTATCAAGTTAATACTGTATTTGTTTGTAGATGATAAACAAAAGGCCAAAATAAAATTTCTGAAAAGTTGCTTTATTTTAAAACTTTTTTTTTTTTTTTGGGGGGGGAGGCTGTGTTGGAGATCCAACCTATGGCCTACCACAGGCTAAGCAAGGACTCTACCACTGAGCCACATATTCAGTCTGATAAAAATGTTTCTTATAGAAAACAAGTCCACTATTTATCCTTGGGAATTTTTAAAGACAAAATGATGTTACTACAAAGATGTTTCTTTTTTTATAGAAAGCATACCCATCAGTAATCTACCCTTCAATAAACATACCTTCCCCAAACCATCTAAAATCAGGGGGAAAGTAAGCATATTACTTTGTTGAACTCCTTCCTTCATTTTAAAATGTTGACAGATTTTTTATTAACTGACAATGTGAAAGTGTAACCCAACAATCTTAACCCTAAAAAGTTATTTATTAATTTTTAAACAGATTTATGAATGGACACTTCCTATAGTTCACCTGCCACCTTTCCCAAAAGTAGGCACTAGGGGTTTAAGACAGTCCCCAATGGCCAATAATAACAGAAGAGCCACAATATGGAGGCACATGCCTGTAATCCCAGCAACTCTAGAGGCGGATAATTGCAAGTTCAAAACTAACTTTAACAATTTACAGGGCCCTAAGTAACTTAGTGAGAACCTATCTCAAAATTAAAAAAAAAAAAAGTAAAATAAAAATAATAATGGATGATGATGATGATGATGAAAGAACTTTATGTTGAAGTTTTAAAAAATTATAATTGTGGGTTTTGTTGGCATCCAGAAATTCAACACCCAACACAGGTCTCAGCACATAATAAATGTCTGACGATCGGTTTTGCCATTTTGCCAGTGGTGCCCTTTAATTAGATTAGTACACCTTAGTTCTCCTCCCTCAACCCCTTCAGTGTTCTTCCTTGATCATAAAGCCAGTCCCTCAAAAGACATAACTTTATTCATAACGAACTAGAAAGCTCCATCTCAAACTACAATTCAAACACCTCTTTATCTTCTCCAGTATCCTCAAAGGAAAKAAGGGTTTGTTTGTTTTTTTAACTTTTTTCCTAGTTGTGTAGGGACAGAATGCCTTTGTTTATTTTCTGTGGTGCTGAGGATGAAACCCAGTGCCTCACACAAGGTAGGCAAGCGCTCTGCCACTGAGGTACAGCCCCAGTCCATAAGCCCTGTTTTAAGAAATAGAAAATGTGTGCCAACTTCTCTCAAGATGAAAAACTTCACATTTCAATAATAAGTGATTATTCATCAACAGTACATGTTGGGGGGTGCTGGGGATATAGCTCATTTGGTAGAGTGATTGCCTCACATGTACAAGGCCCTGGGTTCAATCCCCAGCACCACAGGGGAAAAAAAAAAAAAGGACATAGTGGGTAAAAACCAAAAACAAGCAGATAAAACGACGGGTTCCAACGTTTTTTCCTTAATCTGAGTTTTCAAAGGGTATGAGCCTAAATCTTACTTGATGTGAGATCAGCTTTGATGTTTCAAGATTCATTCATTCAACCAATATTTTATTGAGCATCTACTATATATCAGGACCCTTAACACATTTAAAGTTTTTAATTACCACCAAATTCCTCTACAAAACCTTATGATTTCTGCAGCCAAAGTGGAATCTCAATGCTGCTGCTGTATATATGAAGTCAGCCTACGGGGCTGCTTTTCAGCTATTAATGCGACGTCAGCTAGCGGCTACCTACCACACCCGTTACCAATGATCACAACTGAAGCATCCAGCTTTGGGTAAAACAACCTGTAAGAGTAGTCGGAGCTCCTCCAAGGTGGCCAGGGCTTCCTCTCCGGGGGCCCGGAGCAGGAACCTCCGGCRGAACGCGCGGGGAGCCTCGGGCGAATCTCCGGGCTCCGGTGCCGGAGGTCCCCGGCCCTCCAAAATCTGCACTTGGAGGACCCGGGCCCTCTCGGCTCGCGCCACCTTCTACACTTGGAGACCTGCAAAGTTGGGGGGAGGGGTCTGCATTTCCATTTTACATCAGGCGGACTGTTGGCTGCCTCAGCCGCCCGCCCGCCTGCCCGCCCGCCCGCCTGCCTGCCGTGAATTCTGAACAGAGCACGTAAGCATTCCTCAGAGCAAATGGAAGAAAAATGAAAGGCAGGGTCCTCGGGCATGAAGACCTCGCCCAGACCTGAAAATGGAGCCGCAGGCTCAGCCCACAGCCCGCAACGCGCGGCGTGCAGGGCCGGGCCGCGCTCGCCCCGGAGTCCTCGRGGCGGGGGTTCAGGGCTTCGAGTCCTCGCCCGAAGGGCCGCGAAGGTGAGGCGTGGGGCCGGCGTTCCACTCACCGTCGCCTTTGTTTCATCCGCTAGCTCCAGCTGCAGCCGCTCTGACCTCTGGCTCCTCGGCTCCTACAGTCCCCGCGCTCGACGCTTCCTGGCCCCCCCCCCCCCCCCCCCCCCGCAGCTGCGCTCCCCGGCGCGCTCGCCGCTTCCTGGCCCCCGCCCTCCCCGCCCAGGCTCGCGCGCGGGTGGAGCCAGAGGCGGTGCGCGCCCCTGGAAAGGCAGGAGGCCGGGCTTCTTCGCGCAGCTGCAGCTGCCTTCGCGAGGCCCCGCCCCCGGCAGGCCCCGCCCCGTCCGCGGCCCCAGGCAGTCTCCGCCCCTTGCCCCGCCTAGAGAATGGACAAGCTGGTGGCTCTGGAGACCCCGAAGATCCGAATCACTCGGGATTGGAAGCCGCCTGTGAGGATAGCGGTGGGCCGAGAACCGGGGCTGGAGCCCAAATGGACACCCCGGAAAATGGCGACCACAGTGGGGCTTGCGGGAGCCCCTGTCCGCTCAGATGGGCCCCCGACCCACGCACCTCCGAGGCAGAGCGGAGGGGCGGTACCAGCGCGCGATTTGGGGCAGCGGACGCGCGCGGGCGAGGGAGCATCTGTGCTGAGTGGGCGGTGGAACAAGACATCTCTCAGCGGTGGCAGTTGAGAGGTGCCACGAAATCCTCCGGTTACTGTTTTTCTRTACAAGATAGAAGTCGGAATCTTTGCGTCAATCATTCACTGGCTTAAGGCCAAGAACATCCACCTGGCACTTGAAATGTGTGAAAATTACTTGTCCACTGGACCTCTGTGACTCCTTTAGCTGTATATTTTATATGTCTCAGAAACTGAGAGTGAGTTTCGTGTGATCTAGCCCATACTCCACTGAAACGCCTACCAAACTTTTATCATGGGTTGAAAGGAAAGGGAAAGAACCAAATACCATTAAAGTAAATTTTCAAATATAAGCTACTCTGAATACAATTTTGTAATGCACATCTCATTTGATAGCAAGACCTAATTGCTTGGTTGCTCAGTCCAAAAACTTTGAACTTCTCCTTGGCAACTCAGTTTTCACCTGCAATCTGTCAAGAGAGTTTGTTGGATGTACTTTCAAAATAAATCAGAATCAGGGTCTAGAACATTTTTCCCTTAATGTCATTTTCACCTCTTTTTCTTGCTTAAATCTCACTTTAACAAAGGTCAGCCTACTGACGCTGTTAAAATAGCTACAGCCCCACTCCCATTCTCAATCCTTCCTACCTTGTTTGGTCTTGTTTCTTTCTTGCCATGACTCTTACAACAGTCTTTGTAACTTTTTTATTCCATATGTTTTTCTTTTAGTATCTGTCTCATCAAGTAAAAGCTGAGATTTTGGTCTGTTCTAAGTGCCTACAAAAAAAATGAAAATTTTTAAATTTTTCTGAGAATAAAAAGAGTAAAGCAACAAAAAATGACCAATTTTTCATTTTAAATTGCTATTGGTTCCAATTTCTATCAATTAACCCTAAGACCCTAATCTATATCATCCCATAAGCATTTTAATTTTTCAGTTACCCAGAGTACAGTGATACCATTTATTTACATTTAATGCAATTTTTTGACCAGTGATATTCTGGTATCCTATTTTACTGAATAGGAATAACGTGATAGGGCAAAGGAACTTTACTGATGTGATACTCAGCAGCATATTGTTTCTAAAAATTTCCTAAGGCAAAAGAAGCAGAAAATTACCGAATTTGATGTATATGTTGTTTTCATCCCTTGAATTACAAATAAAGTTTGAATGCCTTAAGTAACATTTCCTACCATTATTAATAAAGGGTAAAATTCATTATGTGAGTATATATTTTCATATATTTCATATTTTGTTTATTAAAAAACATGATTGAAGAGTATGACAATTTCAATTGCTATTGTCAGTAGAAAAAAAGTCAATTAAGGACAGTTTGATTCATAATACCATTTCTGAGAGAGTATTACTCAGTAGTATATTCATAGCATAGGCTCTTGACATATTTAATTGATCCTTTATGATTTAAAACACTGTAAAGCTCTTCATCGTGTCAGATTAGGCCCCAACTTCCTTAAGACTCCTATAGTGCAAGAAATAAAATCAAGAATCAATAAATGGGATGGATTCAAATTCAAAATCTTCTTTTCAGCAAAAGGAACAATCAGTGAATGGGAGCAAATTTTTACCACATGCATATCGGAGCACTTATCTCTAGGATATATATAGAATTAAAAAAACAACACCAAAAAAACAAAAAACTCAATCAATAAACGGGCTAAGGAACTGAACAGACACTTCTCATAAGATGACATACCTGCAATCTGTATACGGGGTAAAAACGGGAGTTCATAACCCACTTGAGTCAAAGTGTGAAATATGATATGTCAAGAACTATGTAATGTTTTGAACAACCAACAATAAAAAATAAAGAAAAAAAAGATGACATACAATCAATCAACAAATATATGAAAAAATGTTCAACACCTCTAACAATTAGAGAAATGCAAATCAAAACTACTCTTAAGATTTCATCTCACTCCAGTCAAAATGGCAGCTATTAAGAATACAAACAACAATAAGTATTGGTGAGTATGTGGGGGAAAAGATATACATTGCTGAAAGGACTGCAAATTGCTGTAATCAATCTGGAAAGCAGTATGGAGCTTCCTTAAAAAACTTGGAACCACCATCTGACCCAGCTATCCCACTCCTCAGTTTATACCCAAAGGACTTAAAAATAGCATACTACAGTGAGGCAGCCACATCCATGTTTATAGCAACACAATTTACAATAGCTAAATTGTAGAACCAACCTAGATACCCTTCAATGGATGAATGGATAAAGAAACTGTAATATATATATATACAATGGAATATTACTCAGCATTAAAAGAGAATAAAATCATGACATTTGCAGGTAAATGGATGGAGTTAGAGAGTATCATCCTAAGTGAAGAAAGCCAATCCCAAAAACCCAAAGGCTTAATGTTTTCTCTGATATGTGGATTTTGATCCATAATAGAGGTTGGGGGAGAACATGGGAGGAATGGAGGAACTTTATATAGAGCAAAAGGAAGGGAAGGGAGTGGGTATGGGGAAAAGATAGTGGAATGAGATGGACATATTACCTAAGCACATGTATGAAGACACGAATGGTGTGATCCTACTTTGTATACAACCAGAGACATAAAAAAAAATTGTGTTCTATATGTGTACTATAAGTTGAAATGCATTCTGCTGTCATGTATAACAAATTATAATAAATATTTTTTTAAAAAAGGAATGTTAGGGGCTGGGGTTGTGGCTCAGTGGTAGAAGGCTTGCCTCGCATGTGCGAAACCCTGGGTTTGATCCTCAACACCACATAAAAAAATAAATAAATAAGTGAAGTAAAGGTGTGGTGTCCAACTACAAYTAAAAAATAAATATTTTTTAAAAAAGAAAAAGAAATAAATAAGGAATGTTAAAAAAAGAAAAAAACCTGTAAAACTACAGACTATGCTTTACAATTCAAATTTTTTAAGTAAAATTAAACTATGTTTATTTACCGAACCATTGATAATATATTTTATCAATGTCAAAATATAGTTTGTAGGGGCTGGAGTTGTAGCTCAGAGGTAGAGCATTTGCCTTGTACATGTGAGGCACTGGGTTCGATTCCCAGCACCACATATAAATAAGCAAATAAATAAAGGCCTATCAACAACTGAAAAAAATTTTTTTTAAAAAATGTAGTTTGTAATTACAAAATACCAAATAATAATTTTTCTAGAATCAATAATATGATGTGTCTGCACTGTCCTTAAAATTGTTGCCAAGTAAAATCTTGTTCCAAAAGAACAAGAGTAGAAAATAGACACTATTCATAATTTATTCACATAGTGTATATCAAAAATACTGATAAGTAAATGCTACTGTTACAGAACAAAAGAAACTGTTTGAAGCGATTACTAATCCATAATAAGTGGAAACATTATCACCAAGGGCAACATGAAGCAACATGTTGGTCCAACCCACTGCTAATCAAGTAGCTGCCACACTGACATGATTTTGCAATCTTTTACTTAAATAAATTTTCCTTCAAAAATCTTAAAGCAAATGGATTTTTCCTAAAAGTATGCTGTTAATATTTATTAACTGCTTTCCAAAACTTGATGCGACCTCTTTTTCCACGTTTAGAGGAGTTGGTATCTGGAGTTCATGTCCAAGTCCTGCTGCTTAATTAGCCAGGTGATGCTGAGCAAAGTTCTTTTTCAATCTAGCTTATTCTCCTAATTTATTACTATTTTTTAAATACCTTTTGTAGTTGTAGATGAACAGAATGCCTTTATTTTATTTGTTTGTTTTTATGTGGTGCTGAGGATTGAACCCAGTGCCCCACGCATGCGAGTCAAGCGCTCTGCCATTGAGCTACAGSCCCAGCCCTATTCTCTTAATTTAATAGGACCAAGGGTAGCTCTGCTTGGAGGACTGTTGTAAGAAATCATTGGGAGAATTCAAGAAAAATTCTTGTCCCTGGGCCTGGAACAGGCTAAGCAGCCCCAAAAGAGACAATTATATATCAAAATATCTTTAAGTTATATATCAAGATAATAAAATATTCAATTAAATGATCATTTTTAAGGGGCACTAACATTTCTTCTATCACCACAATGTGCTGGATGGTTTTAGGCAACAAAGAGAAATAAGGCCCAGACTTAGGAGAGTTTTACAGTTGAATGTTTGTCACATCTCTTCTGATTTAATAGTTACTTGTGCCCCCTTTCATTCTCAATTGTGTCCAGTTTTGATGCTCAGTTATATGGTAACTCTTAATGAGAAGTATAGGCAAATGGTTTGGGACATTGAGGGGAAGCCATCCATTCTGTGAAAGCTATACAGACTTAAATGGCTTCTCTTTTTTCCCTTTTTGTTGGCAAGTAAAATCTTGTTCCAAAAGAACAAGAGTATAAGAAACTTTGTATTTATTTACCAAACCATTGACAATACATTTCATCAAAGTCAAGATGTAGTTTGAAATTACAAAATACCAAACAACAATTTTTCTAGTAGGCCCTGGGGCTAGAACTCAGGGCCTAATGAATGCTAGGTAAGCT